TTACAAATTGCTGAAGGAACCCTCATCCTCTATGCCCTTGCAAGGTGAGGGTGTTCATGGGGTTGGCTCTCTTCAGTGTCTGCCAAGAATTTCAGGAGATCAGGATGAGTTTGCAAGGGCAGTGCTGGGTTTTGCAAGCACAGGGATTATCCAGAGGGAGCGATGAGGGATTTGGAAAGGCTCCTCACTGCCTGGGGAGGGTGGTGGGCTGCTGGGGTTGTTTATCCTTTGTCACACATCTTATCTGTCTCAGGGCTCCCTGCTTTGTGTGACTGATAACCTTGGAGCAGGGGGGAATGACCGACAGATGGGCAGCCCCTGCATAATATTGGGTTTGTCTTCTCTACCCAGTGTCAACAGGGGAACAATGAAAGAGTTATTGTTCAAATATCTCTGCAAAAAGGTCCCTGTCGGCTCCTTTGCAAGCTGCTCCTTGGAGGTGGAGCAGAGTTTCTTTGCTCTGCCCCCACCTCTGATGTGAAATACCTTCTGTCTTCAGGATCTCTGTCTGCATTTCATCACACTGAAAGCAGGAGCTGCATTATTTTACTTTTACCACCAACAGCACATGCACAGGGAGAAGATTAAAAACTCACAGTGATCAGTCGTCAGAATTTATTCACTTAAATTTAATATCCTGGGGTTTGGCATGCTTTGTTTGAATGGGTGTTGTCCTGGATTCTCCAGTATTAATCACCCATGTGCTTCTCTGCAATTTGGACACAGTATTGCTGGCATTATTTGTATTTTTCCAGGTCAGATTTTCCCCAGTCTGGGCAGGGGTGTAGTTTTGTGGCTACTCCTCCACATGGTCACTGTCACTTGGCATCACAGCCAGGCAGTGTTAGCAGGGAAGGACTGTAAATATTTCTCAAGAGCAAAGCAACACACAAACTCCTGTGCCACCCTAAATGAGCCCTGAGAACTGAAACCAAAGCTTTTTGAAATTTGCAACTCCTAAAAAGAACTCATTTTGCATGTAGAGCAATCAGGCTTGGAGGTTTGTAAAGGATCATTACTGATGTTTAGTCAGTTGTGGAAGGGACAGGGCCTTTCTTCATGATTTTAATCATAAAATGATTGATTTAAATCGAGCCATGCTTTAGCCCTCAGTCCTTTTACGAGCCCTCTCAGTTCCTGCCTCATGAGGCTGTAAAACCTTAAAATATTCATTAATGAAAGCCCATCAGGAGGCTTCCTTTGGGCACAACTATGTCAAGAAGTTGAAATGTTTGCCCAAGTACCTTTTCCAGCAGCCTGCCAGAAGTGAATTCCTCAGGTGTGGTTCACCAAACAGCTTTAGCACCCAGACTACATTTGCAGAGCCCAGGTGAGGGGGGCTGGCTGCTTGCCATTTGTTTTTTTCCTATTTATTATGCTCTTAAGTGATCAGAAATCTTGGTCCATGGCAGGTTCTGCACTGGTGATTTCTGATGAGGATGAGAACAGAGGTTTCCTAGAGGACCCCCTAATTAAATTAGAACACAGTCACTCAGTGTTGCTAAGGGACTGAGCACATCCCCCTAGAAAGAGTTTTTCTCTAAAACTTGGGGGAAGGGAGAGAGGGAACATTTGACACTTTTGAATGTGTTCATTATAGAAAAATTTAAGCTGCCCTGACACACCAAAGCTGCAGTGCATTTATTAACCAGCACAAGGATGGGAGACACACACACACACACACACACACACAAAATTGTATTTGGGTTTTTATGATTTAATAGGGAGTGCTGTGGGCTGGGGACAAAGTGGGGATTGGTGAAAGGTTGAGCTCCATGATATTGGAGGTCTTTTCATTGATTCTGTGATTCTGTTGTCTGATTTAGCTTCAACATTGTGCATCTACACTAAAACCAGACTTTTTTTTTTTAATCATTCTGATACTGCATCCACAGCAGCACCCACAGCCGAGCTCTCCAAGGCTGTTGGGCTTTTTCCAGCAACTGGCTTTGAATCCTGGAGTGATTTGCAGAGTCATTATTCATGGCTATTCACAGTTCAGAAGTTCAAGAGACACAAAAAAAAAAAGTCCAGGGTATGTAATCAAAGATTAATTGTTGCCAGTTTTCAAAGAAAGGAAGGGGAAGCAAAAAAAAAAAAAAAAAAAAAAAAAAAAGCAAAACCAGTTGTTTGAAAGCAGAATGGAGGATCTTAAGGATCTTAGAGGAAAATTATTGTTTCTGGAGCTACTGAAAGTGTCCCTGTGTGTACAAGTGAGTCAGGAGCATTGTTTCCAGCCAGCATCTGGAAAGCTGGGAGAGCAGCATAGGCATTACCTAACAAATGCCAACCCAGTTCCTCAAAATCTTTGGAATTTTGCCATTTTGAATTTCATTTGATGATGATGCTTAAAATTTTCAAGAGCTTTCAGTTCTCAATCCAGCTACAGTATGGAGTTAAGAAAATCAGAATCAGCTGTGCAAAACAGTTCTTTTGTGTATTTTAATATTTTTGTGTATTTAAAAAAAAAGCAACAGAAATATTCTCTCGGCTTCCTGGCCTTAATTGAGATCCTGCCAATGGAACCATATACACTGCCAAGTATCTTAGAAAAATCAGTACCTGCACAGTAATTGAATTTGTAATTAGTGTAATTGCACATATCAGTAAGTCCCCGTGTCTTTTCTGTGTGCCATCTCTGCTGAGAGCAAGGAGCCCAAACCTTAAAGACCAAACAGGGCCATGAGCTGAGCTGTGCAGAAACGTGAGGAATCAGAATTTGATGAATGTTAAGAAACGAAGGAAGTGTCCATAATTTGTAGCTCATAGTGAGATGTTGCAGGAGGAGGGACACACAGAGCCCTCAAGATGAAAATCAATCACTGGTTACTTAATCACAGGACCATTAAGGTTGGAAAAATCCTCTGAGATTGAGTTCAAGCTGTGCCCAATCCCCACCTGGTCACCAGCCCAGAGCTCTGAGTGCCACCTCCAGGGATGGGGACCCCAAACCCCCTGGGCAGCCCCTTCTAATGCTTAAAAACATTTTCCATGGGGAAATTGCTGCTGCTGTCCCAGCTGAGCCTCTGCTGGCCCAGCCTGAGGCCATTTCCCCTTGTCCTGTCCCTGTTCCCTGGAGCAGAGCCCGACCCCCCGGCTGTCCCCTCCTGGCAGGAGCTGTGCAGAGCCACAAGGTCCCCCCTGAGCCTCCTTTTCTCCAGGCTCAGCCCCTTCCCAGCTCCCTCAGGAATTCTCCAGCCCCTTCCCAGCTCCGTTCCCTGCCCTGGACACGCTCCAGCCCCTCCAGGTCTCTCCTGCAGGACCAGAACTGGGCACAGCCCTCGAGGTGTGGCCTCAGCAGTGCCCAGCACAGAGGGACAATCCCTGCCCAGTATGATCTGCATATTTCTTCAAGACTTCTAAAAATGTAACTTGAAAAATTCTTGGATCTTAGCAAAAAATTATCGAAATTAATTTTTATTACCACAGTCACATTTAGTGCGTATGCATCAGTTCGTATTCAGGATTCAGGATCAAGTTAATGAAAAATGTGCAAGGAATAATTTTCAAGAGTAGGTCCAAGGGCCTCAGCTCCTGCTTTGTGCCAGTGGTGACACCAAAGTCCAATACAGAAGGTAAATACCCACAGATTTTCCCTGATTACTTCACAAGCCCTCGATGACACCTCAGTTGCATCAGGAAGACAAACCAAACTTTACCTGCACATGTCACACTGTGTTCAGGTTTTAGGAGGGTATCTAAATAGTGATTTTTCATTTTGTGTTTTAAAGACATGACAGATGTAATCCCACAGATCTCACACACTCTGAATTTGCATGAATTTATATATGGATAAATAAATACCTATGTGTCCCAGCCATGTTGTTGGGTGTTTTTTGCAGAATCCTCATTTCACACTGTGTAGTTTATTCTCCTTTGTTTCAGCTTTGAGGATATTGCTCCAGTTTTTATGAAGAGAGTTATTTAGGAACAGCCCTAAGCTGCAGACTAAAGGACTTTGTAAATGGATACTCCACAAAAGCAAACCAGCTCACCAGTTATTTACAACTATTTACTTGTGATTCCTGTAATGGCTTCTTGAAGAGGTGATTTATCTCTCAGGGGAATTTGAAACCATCCAACTGAAAATACTCCATATGGGACCTAATTTAGTTGATATAACCACATAATCACAGAATGGTTTGGGTTGGAATGGACCTTAAAGATAATTCAATTTCAACTTCCCTGCCATGGCAGGGACACCTCCCACTGTCCCTGCTCCAGCCCCAGTGTCCAACGTGGCCTTGGGCACTGCAAGGGATCCAGGGGCAGCCACAGCTGCTCTGGGCACCTGTGCCAGGGTCCCACCACCCTTACAGGGGAGAATCTTTCTAGTATCTAATCTAACCCTGCTCTCTCAGTCTGAAGCCATTCCCCTTTGTACTTTACAGGTGGGGGTATTTTTTGTTTGTTGGGTTCTTTATTCATTTCAGATTAAGGAAAAAAATTGCTCCCTGGCAGCAATGGAGTTAAAATTATTTCCAGTTATATCACCAGGAGTTATTGGCACTACTCTCAGACACTCTTCTAATGCCAGACAAGGAAATGATAAATACTCCTTTGTCTAGAACACAAACTACTCATCTATCCACAGATTAACCCTCTAACCACAAAACGTGATCCAAAATCTGTCTTCTTCCCTTCTGGAGGCACTCGTGGGTGTCACCATGCCAGATGCTGGGGAAGAGACTGCAGGACTAAGAAATGCTCCAGCAGGAATAAATAATGCCCCAGTACTCAGCAGAAGTAAATCCAAGGGTACCCACATCTGATTTAATCTCTGCTGAGCAGGACTTGCTGGATATGAAATGAGTTTGAGATTCTTAGCTGAGAAGAATCTTGTAATAAAGGAGCTGCTCATTTCCTGAAGATTTCTGATTTGGTAGAATATGGTAATTTTAGAAATGTATTAAAATCTGGCTAAACAAGCTAACACATGGGATTTACAGAGAGGAAGTATTTTCAAATAAGTCACTACCATATATGCTTGGAACCATTACTTGAAGTTTGATGTCCATGCCATTTTAATTAATAATTTTGAAACAACAACAAAAAAAACCCCCACCCAAAGTCACAAACATTGTGGACTATTTACCTGCTAATTCTTTCATTCATCCAAGCTGCTCCTACATTACAAATGTGTAATAAAAATCCCCACACTGGTAAGAACTAGTAAACATTTTTCTTCATTTGCATAAACAAGAAACCCCAAACAAATACAAAGGCCAAGGACTTTCCCTGGCCAAGAACTGGTTAAATAGTTTGAAACTATGCTCAAGATTTCCTGAAAACGCATTTGTCTTTCAGCCAAACAATACTGTTAAAGCAATGTAAATGCTTTGCTTCCAAAATGTGCTTTTTCTGTTCACAGAGAGCAGCAGTGTAAAAATAAATCATCCATGAAGCATATTCTCATTTTTAATTTCATCCCTTGATAGAGCAATTGCTTCAAAATCCCTTAACAACCAAGGAAAGAAAAGTTACAGGGTTCACATGTTAAAGATTGTCAATTGTGCAGACCCAGTGCTGCTAATCCTTGGGCAGGTTATGAGCAGCTTCTGTCAAGACCTGAAACACTGGATTTTATTAACACCATGAGTCTTTTTGGGTATCTACAAGGTTGGAAAGGCATTCCCCTGCCTTCTCACACCTTGCTTTTCTCTGGCAAAACCAACTGTGATCACTCAGCAGGTCCTAAAGAACCAAGTCTCAGGAAAGGAACGGATTTTGTATCTCCAGGTGACAGGAATGAACAAATTACCTGATTTGGGCAATGACTGAAAATCACTTTTCAATTCAGAAATGCCAATTTCACTGCATTTTGCACTGGGCCATCAGGTTACTGTAGGACTCGAAAATTAAACAAGCCAGGAGGACTTTGAAGGAGTTTAGCATGCCAAGGGCAGGGGAGGGGGGAAGGAATCCACGCTGAGTTTGAGTTTGGCAAAATGAACCTGCTCCTGTCCTCAGCCCTGCTGCAGAGTGAAGAGCAAAGTGCATCCAGCTGATGCTGGGGAGGTTTGCACACCACAGTAACACCTGCAAGTTCATGGATATGCCGTTTTCAGGAGGTGGTGAGAGTTTGAATTTATTATCAGAAACCAAAACATTTCACTTAATTGTTTGACATGCGAGATTTTCATGAGGGAACGAAGGTTAGTTACATTTCCAACAGGATTTCAAAGCTACATTTTGCCTTTTCAACTCTAAGCCAAATGTAAGGCTGAAAGGTTGAAGAGACTTATCAAAGGAACAGAAGTCAGAAAGACAATAACAATACAGTACCTAAAGATGGGTAATTCACACATTTTTGACATTTGTGTCTTGCATAGACAAATACTTAATTCATTTTTTTTTCTCCCAAGACGACTCAACTCCAGAAAATAAAATGCTAAATCAACTTTAATTACAATTAAAAGCATGTGTTCCAATTTTTCAAAACACAGGGTGTTCTGGATTTTTGTTTGTTGAAGTGCAACTATCATCCCTTGGAAAGGCTTTGTTGTATCCCGTGGGCTGCCAAATTCCTAAAGTTAGGAAGGTGGACTTGTGATTCTTCCAGAAACAAATCCAGGTATTATTTCACAGAACACTCTGAGGTGGAAAGGACCCATAACGAGTCCAGCTCCCCAGGGAATGGCCCAGGGGGATCAGAGCTGGGGCTTGAGCCACGTGTGCTCCTATTCCACTCCAACATCCATAAACCTGAAGCTACTTTGGAAGCACAGGAACTGGGAACTGCAATTCCTCACCATGGGTCTGGCTTCATTTTGAACATAAAAAAATAAAAAAAATTTGTTGCACCCCAGGTTGCCATGAAATCCTGCCCTGCCAAGCCCTTCATCCATACCCAGGTTTCCACTGGAAGAAGACCCAGGTTTGCAGGCAAGGCTCCAAAAGATTCCTGACAGAGATCAGGAACCAGGAAAATGCAAATGCAGCCTGACATGGATCTCTGGAGCTTCCCTGAGGTCAGCAGGACTCCACTGGGACACAAAATCCAGATGGAGAAAACCTCCTGCAGAGCCAGAGTTGGTTCTCAGTATTTTCTGACGTGATTATTTCTTTGTAACAGTCATTCAGAAACTTATCCTGATCGTTTTGGAATTGATTTACTGAACCGCAATGCTTCCAAAGTTAAAAAAAAAAAACCAACAAAAAACCAGAAAATTGCCTTGCCTGTTCGAGGAATATTGAAAAAATTGGACTGAGAAACCTGGTTTGGGTTAGATTGAAAAAAAAATATATAAAAGTTTAAATGATTGTATTTGCAGAAGAATCACATTGATTCAAAAACCAAATTAGTTCTACTGCATACGAATATGAGTTTAATTGGAGGCAGGGGGAGTTACACACAGACTTGAAGTCAGGTCCCCTGAAAAGACTTTTTAACTAACGTAAACATGTACCTTTCCTCAATGGTGATGCTTTCCTGAAAAGCAATCTTTCCTACCCTACACAGGAAAAAAAAAAAAAAAAAAAAAAAAAAAAAAAAAAAAGGACTCTATTTGTTTTTTCTTCTTTTAAATCATGAAAAGAACAAGCACTTCCCGGCAGTTCACACCCACTACAGAATTCTCACTGAATTGAAAGAAAATATTTGAGTTTCACATGTTAAGCAATACTTTTACACTGGTGAAGGGTTTTCAGTTTTAGGAATTCAAGTCCTTATATTTTTTTAATGTTTCTAATCTGACAGTAAAACTATTCCATATTCCCCTTTCACAGTAAACTCTGTCAACTTCAGTCTCCAGGAATTGATAAAGTAGCTGAAGACAAGGTCATGTTTTGGAAGAATAGAACTTCTGCTGCATGTAAGGTGGGGGGAGTAATAATTAAAAGAAAAAAAAAAAAAAGCTAACTAGAAAATGGCTTCTTTCTGAAAAATAAACTTTCAGAAGTTTGCAAACCCTGAGGCCTGGTTGTTTCCAATAAAAACCCCAAAAAACCCAACAAATATAACCTGCTATTGAATGGTAATGGTGGGGGTAATGAAGCACTCTTGGAGTTAAAAACAATTAAAAACAAAAATAGAGAATCTGAGTTCCAGTAATCTGAGCTATCTTCTGTAGGGGCAGTAGGCTGAATGCTTCCAAAGGAGCAGGATTTGTACATGGTTTGTCTTTTAATGTTTTTTAGGGTCAAACTGGATTTGACAGCAGCCTTTGAGATAGCCATGCTATGTCAAAGCCTTCCTAATTCATCTTTCATTATTCATTTACTGTGCTGTTTAACAAACATGGCACATCAGTGGCAAAGCAGAGAAGTCAGAAATAAACAAATTCTTAGAAATCACCAGTCCAGTGGAGCAGTTCATGACAGCACTTGAACTAAGGAAGATCCTCAGCCAGGACTCAGTGAGAGCCAGAGTAGAAACACCTCTTTTGTTGAGTAAAAACCATTAAAAAAAAATAACTCCCAGACACTGCAAACTCCTGTTGTTCTCCATGTGTGTATGGCAATGCCACTGATACTTCTTCCTGAAGCTTTTCTTCCTACCAACTGAACCTTGCCTGGGAGGACAATCTGCCATGAGCAGCTTCCAGCCTCTTCAGCATGTCCAGCAGCACATTCCTTCATCCTCCTGAAATCAAGGGGACCTTAGCATGTGCCTGAGTGTTCTGAGAAGCAAAAATTAAGTATTCCATTAAATATTTGCATCTGCCAAAGGGCTTTGTTCAAATACAGTGTCTGAAGATTCTAAAGGTGACCACTTTTCTCCCTGTCACGTTAGAAACACACTCAGATTTGGTCAAAATCAGAAGGAAATTCTGGCTCTGATCTAAGCCAACACTGTGACAAATGGACAGGGACAAAAGAGGGTGTTGATCATACCATGAGGCTCTTGAATCTCTTATTTGTACTCAACAAAGGGAAATACAAAGTTCCAAAAGCAAGCATTCATGGATAGACAATCACAGACTTCAAACTTTGGGAAAATGAAAGAAATGAACTGTTACCACAACAAAACAAAACAAAAAAATCCCAAAACAAAATCAAACCAAAACCCAGCTGTTTTTATCACCAGCTCTTTGTTTTTTAAATGACACACAAGGATTTCCTACTCTAACAAAGCCTGCTGTATATTCTGGTAGTAAACTTCAGATCTGAAGAAATTTGATATAAATTCATGTTATATTTTTCTTTTTGTATTAGGGGAAAATATTTCAAATGCAATAAAATAGCAGAATTCATGACTGTATAGTAGGCAACTTTCATTTTTTAGATTCAGTTGTACAAACTATAAAATGTTAAATTTCTCTAATAATTGGAAAAGTTGTGGGTGTTTGAACTTACTTACCTGAATACTCATTTAGCAAATATTTTCAGATACAAGTCTAGATACAGAGTTATGCAATTTGAATATTAGTTTACACATAATATAAATCAATGTTTGACAATATCAAAATCCCAGCAAACAGTGGGCCCTTCTTATGCTATTATCAAATATAGTATATCACTGTGGGATAGCTGAGAATCATAGAATGCTACTGTAGGCTTGTTTATTAAATTGGGTCAATTTTCAGACCTTCCAAATAGGAATACTAAACATTTATTTTTCCCCTCTGGAAATTTTTTTTTCCTCCTGCTTAATACAGTTGTCATCCCAATTTCTAGTGAATTTATAAAAATATTTTTTTTTTATCCAATAACCCCAGCAAGGTAAAAATAGGAGTTTTTATAGCAAATGATAAACAGGCTCACGGACTATGAGAGAAACTAAACTTATTTAAATTGCCATACATTCTCTACTGAATCACACATCAACAGTTTCTTTTTATGTGTGTTGCTGTCCACCTCAGACTAGCAGTTTTTAAGGTGCAGAAGCATCTTTCAAATATATGCATCTAACTCAATAATCAAGTTTCACACACTAGTGTCACATGCTTTAAATTTACATCACCTGCTCATCAAAGGCTGTGTTAAATAACAGCACTAATTGAAACTGCATAATTCATCAGAAACTGCAGCACTTCCAATTCAGAGAACAAAGGGGTGCTTACATGGTTCTTTATATTACTAGATATAATTTTCTGAAATAAGGAAAGGAAAATAAACAAAACAAAAAAAAAAAAAAACCAAAACACATTTGAAAGAAGTTGCTGCACCTGCAAAAACACTCTTTAAGCTTACTATGAAATACAAAAAAGTGCACCCTTCTATATCTACATATAAAACATATTAGAAATAAAACTTGTGTAAAATGTTTGCTGTGCAAACTATAAAAAGTCAGTCAGTCAGTCCACTCTTTTTCCTAAGTGTTTTTCTCCAGGCTCTCTGCCTTCCTACTGCAGAGAGTCGCTGTTATCCAGGACCAGCCCACTGATATTTGCTGTCGAGAGGTCTCCCCCGTCGTCCTCGCCGCTGTCCACGGACTCGTCCTCGCTCTGCCCTGCCATCATCACCTGCTGCACAGCCAGGGTGGCACCATCTGAGGACAAGGACTGCAGACTGTCTACATTCATGTTCACTGGAGCTGTGATGGTCACGACAGCACCTGCAGGAGCACAACCACAGCACTTCAGCACCTTTCTTGCCTTCTGCTTATACCTAACAGCTTTTTTCTAATCAACAGTTACCCCAGAACAGTTGTTTCTAATCAACTCACCACAGAAACTTAAGGAACTACATAAAAATAAAAGATATAGAGGTTGTCAAATACTTAAATGTCAGGAAATGCCAGAATTGGGTTGGTCAGGAATCTTAAACTATGTGTTGTGAATCTTAAAATCTGCCTTATGGACACCCACTACAGCAATTCTCCAATCAAGCCATCACAAGGCCATTTCTGCACAGTATTCCAGCTTAATTCATTGCAGAAAAATGGGAGTGTTCAGATTCAAGGTAACTTCAATGGATAAAGTTGTTGTCAGATCCAGCAGAGGCTGAAGGAAAATTTGTTACAAACTGGAAAGAATAAAGCACCAAGCAGCAGGACAGAAAGGACGATCCTGGCAATCAAGCAGTTACTTAGCTTTCTTAAATAAAATCTTTTTGTTTCATCTGACACTGAGGAAGTTACTTCAGTCAAAGTCTGTGGAGGCTCTATGACATTTTCCTGCCTCTCATTGTTCAACTGGAAGCACATGAGGCAGATGTGGAATTGCAGCTGCTCAGCCATGAAGCTGAGTGCTGCTCATCCAACAGGACACTCCTGATGTGCACACAGAGAGAACTCAGCTGTACATTTCAGTTTTACATCTTTTATTCTCTCATTTCATAACTTTGGAAACAAAAGCAAGTTTCTCAACACGAATTCCAATACAATACCCTTGCTTAAACCACAGAAAACTGTTAAAGACAGGAAAAAAGTGACACATTTCTGTTATGCTTTCCCAGATTAAAACCACATTTATAATGAAATATCCAGAAGTTTCCCCTCCCACCACAGTCATCAAACCCTCCCTCTCCCTGTCAGAGAGGAATTAACTTGATTATCCATGTTCAGGCAGCTCTCCTCACCATCTGACATCGTGAGCTCGTTCGATTGCTGCTGAGCAACTCCTGAGGCAATGGAGTCAGGCCAGAACCTCTGCACTGGTCTGTTCTGGGCTGTTTTCTTCTTTGTTTTTGGAGTTTCAGAACAACTGGAATCCAGCATTGGCTGAAGAATTCGCCTTCTAGCATTGATAAACCTAAATACAATCGAGGGCAGGGTGAACTTAGGACCAGTTGGCTGTAAATTCCATCTCTCTCACATTCACAAAGTATGCAGCAGGAAAAAGAAAATTAAGAATATGAAATCTTCTATCAGCTGGGCTTCCCATTCTTTTTAAAGTGTAGAACCACTCCTAGAACACCAGCATCCTTCAATTTTGGCAACGTAGCTAAGAAAGCACTTCTATCATTTTGCAGCTAACAGCATTTTTCCCCCACCTTAGAAGGAAAAATTCTCCAGACAGCACAACAGATGTACACTTCAGGATCTTATTAAAAACTAAGCACCAGAAAACCTGCTGACAGCCCAGCTCAGAAAGCTGATACTCCTCTCATTAGGGTTCACCTAAAGTCTAGCCCCTGCCTAACCTGCTTTGTTTGGTCTGGTTTCATTTACTCCCTTAAGCTTCTGCATTACTTATTTTACAGGCTCCCTGGCTTTCCAAGGGCTGGCTCCTGACCCACGAGATGACAGCAAACACATTTTTCAGATGTGTCCTGATTCCTTTTAGTTCTCTGAATTTCACTTGCTAACTTTAGCATGCTAATTGCTGCCCTTCCCCTTTCTGCTAGTGAACAAGAAAATACTTAAATGGGATAAGCTTCAACATAGTGAGCTAAGGCAGAGAGTTGTGACTGAAGACATAATTTCTAAATATCACAAAACACATCCAGCTCCCAAGTTTACCTGCAATGGGAGGAAATCAGGTGCAGCTGGCAGGTTCCTAAGCTGTAATACAATGCTCTGCACAGACAGCAGTCAGATCCCAGCACAGAGCTCCATGGCCACATGTCACACGGGCACAGTCACACTGTTCCACTTTTGGAACCAGTGTTCTGTCACTATCCTGACTATTTCCCCCCTGGACCCCTCCACAACCTCACAGCCAGCGTCATCTTTGAAATCTGAGGCAGATCCCAGTGGGACTTTGCTGCAGCAATTTTAGGAACTGATGCCACAACTGATGCCATAGGACACGTGGCAGCACCTTCCCTCCTCTCTTCTGCAAGGCAGGTGTCTTATCTTACACCTCCAGGAAAGACAAGACATGACAAAACCTGCTGAAGCATGAACTGGTGAGGAACTGCCTCTCCATTCAGACACCAGTGCTCAGGAGAGCATCCTTTGATACAAGAACAGAATCTGTTAACAGAAACTTCTTAAACATCTGCAGCCACCAGGCCACCAAATGCATTCAGATTTCAGCTGTTTTACTTGCAGAAGAGAGATGAGAGTACTTCCACCTCTCTCAGCACTGGAACAGAACACAATTCTTAATGCTGCAATGTTTTCTCGACTCCTTATATAATTTAAATTACATGAGTATTATTATAGTTTATAAAAATAACGTGCTTGTGTGCCAGTGCACAGCTCTTTTATTTCTATACATGTTTTGTAACATATGTAGAATATTTAAGTTCAACTCCAGATGTCCAAGTTATCCTCCTCACTATTTCTGAGCTGTAAGCACATGGAGGCAAGGACACATATTAAGGGCTTTGCTCTTACCAATTGTTAACCTGGAGTAGTGTCAAATTTGTTTGTGCTGCAATCTGCTTCTTCTCATCCTCTGTTGGATATGGATGCTACAGAGGCCAGAAAAGCAAACAAAAAAGGCATAAGCTTGTTTTTCATCTCCTCATCAAAAATAAGAACTCCTTGATTACATCTGATTAAAACGGGTGGATTAAGGCCACCTGACTCATGAAAACACAAACCTTAGAAACCTCACAAACTTCTATAGATAAAAATAATTCAACAAAGAGTGCTTTACTATACAAAAACTGATTTTATCCTAGAGAGTGTCTGTGGCACCATGAAGCTGCTGCTGTGTAATTCAGAAGAAAAAGCTTCTCATGGCTGACAGTCCTTATTAAAGAGCGTGATCCCTGGGCAGCACAGCATGTGAGCAGCTCTGATTAGTTCTGCTGGCCAGGGCAGTGTCATATGAGAGAACTGAGGAGCACTCAGTCAAATAAAGGAGCACTGGAGTTAAATAAAGCTGCTCTAAGCAGATGAGGACAGGGCACGTAACACAAGAAGTGCACATGCAGCTTCCTTGGATCAGTTCTCTGCTGCAAACCAGTTGTAAAAGGCAAAATATCAATCAATTCTATGTTGTAATAGCTTGAGAGCCATTTATCCTTTCAAAGTATTCATGCAAAGGGATGACAATTGGAAGCACAAGCAGATAGTGACACGCTTGGTACACATCAGAAGGATTGGAAAGGAGATAAAGACAGAAAATGTGAAATTTTCCTTGGTCAAAAATACCCCTAAAACACTGCAAAATACAGGTGAAATTACTTTTCCTTGTGCCATGAACCAGGGTGCAGAGTGCATTAAGTTCTCAACACAGTGAAATGAAGAAAGGCTCCTTGTAACAGCACTTATTGAGACTGTGCAGTACAAATGTAACGTATTTATTAAAATATTAATAAAAGTCAACCAGCATTAGACTATGGAACTACTCCAAATGACTCCAGGGAAAGCTGAACTGAGATTCCATATCTGACAACAGAATAAATTCACCTTGTTTATGAAGAAAAATTTTAAGAGACCACACAAAAGAGCTACATAAAAACCAGACCATGCTCAGTCCTTACCCCTATGTGCTGAAAAAGCCAAGATCTCATCACATTTGTAGCGTGCTTGGGAAGAACTCCTCTCTTATTTTTTGATGAGCCATCATCTTGATGCAAGATGCCTAGATCTTGGTTTAATTGCAACTGGAGCTGCACATTTAATTTTAGGAGAAAAAAAGCAGTTAACATAGTCGTGGCAGTTCTGTATCAATAAATGAACAACTCATTTACAGAAGGAATAAAAGGAAATTAGGCTTGAATGTCTTGAATATACTCACTGTGTGCAAACAAACAACTATGGAACATATTACTGATTTAAGATTTAAATAAAGGATAAAGTAAAATTAATTATTATGCTGCAGTTGCAAACAAAGATGCTAAAGATCCTGCTAAATAAATGCATTAAATGCTCAAAGAGCATTAAAATCCATACAGCAGAACCTATAATTCACAACACTCATACTACTTCCTAAATATTCCTATTTCTTTCTCTTTGTTTTTCACTTCCTATGGATCCATCAAATCATTTGTACATTGGTTATCTGAACGTTGGGGAATACATTCTTAAATGCTTATGCAGAAATAGACAGAAACAGCACAATTTATGTGCTGTCATATAAGATTATATTTCAGACAATTGTAACCAAAATAATTTTAAATCAGGTTTTCCAGACAAATTGGAGCAATTTCTTAAGCTAATCAATATGTAGGAAATTAGTTTTAAACAAGGTTTAGGCTATCACATTTCTACAAATGTGCATTTGGAGAATATTTTAATTTCCAAAGTAATGTCTTGCATTTTAAATAACCTGCTTGCATATGGAGGCCTCATAATGAACTTTCAATATCTTTTCTACAGTGTTTTTTCCCTACCTCCACAGCATTCTGAAACACTGAAAAAGAAGACCCTGAAGAAAGATTTTCAATTTGTGACCTTTGCATAGGTGGGTTTGGAGATTCCCACTAATATCAAAAGTAGTCACAGATGCATACAGAAGGTCAAGTTCTTTTTTATTTATAGGCTAGAGGCATTATTTTCCTCTCAGTATTTTAGTTTTTTGCATAAAAGGTAAAAAAAACCCCCAATTTTTCAAAATCCCTTCAGTCCAGGAGAGTAATTTAACACATTTCTTTCTGAGAGGTGTGTGAGGACAGAGCTGTCTGTGTTCTAGGGGAACATGGCTGAGTACAGATTTGCTCCTGCCAATTCAAAGAACACTCTGTGCACACTTTTTTGGTTGGAGGGCCAGAATAAGGGGGAAAAGAAACCAGTGAGTCAATGATTACCAACAGATTTTATGCTGTGGAGATGGGAACTCCTCATTCACATTTCTAATTAAATCCAGATTCCAGGAAGATTTGGTTTTCCACTTCCAGAGAAAGCTAGCAAGGTTTTCTGCACCACAAGACAATCTAGTTTTCATGTTTCTTTTTTTTCAGTTGTTTCATTGAACTCTTCAGATCTAACTCTTAAGAGCCTACCACAAAAGAGTACTGGCCCTCATATTTTAGGGTATAAGGAGACAAAATTGAGGATCTCCCAGAGTCTCAACTAAATATTTTGAAGGTTTTATAGAAAAATGCTTCTCAGAATAGATAAACTCTGAAATACATATTTTCACAGTTGCATTGGTTGCCATTGTTAAAAAAAATCTTATTTCTCACAACAGAAGTGTGGTACCTTAATGTAATACATTAAATCTATCCAGCCATAAACAAAGTTAAATTATTAGAAAAGTTTTAATAATTGAAAAAGCATTAATTTGATTCAGAGGAGTTTTTAGTTTGCATTGGTGTGGGGTTTTTTTTTTGGTTTTTTGTTTTGGTTGTTATTTTGTTTTGTTGTTGTCAATTTGGTTTAGAGGTGGGTTTTTTTATTTTAGTTTGTGGGGTTTTTTTTAAATTTCACATAACTATAACTCTTCTGGCATCAGTAAAGGAAGACAATTAAAAGGCAGGAACTCTGATGAGCTCTTGTGGCAAGGGGGACCTTGTGACATATCCTACAACCTGTACCTCCCACAGCAGTGGCCACACCAATTTACAATTAATTACTCTGTGTGTACACAGAGCTTGTTCTGCCAGTGTGAAAAATTTAAATCAAAATTCCTAAAGCCACTGAGGTGTATTTCCAGCCAGAACATCATACTGTGGAGCTTATGGAACAAACCTGAGAGTTCTGGATCCGAATAGTCCCGGGTGACAGTGCCTGTGTCACCACTTGTCCTTGAGGAGTGACCACAGTGACTGGCTGATACACTGTCCCCCCTTGAAGCAAAACAGAAACACACATTATGGGGAAGAAAAAGCCCTTCAAGTATTACTCTCTTTAAACACATCAGCACTGCATACCACACGAGACTTTTAATAATATATCAATTACTCTTTTCTAGTCAGCATGCAAGATGTGCTCTTTGCTACACTAAAATCTTCATCCATTCACAAAAAACTGTACAAATTTTGATTCTATTTCCTTGTATTTTAGGCATTCTAAATCTATTTTCAAAGGAAAATGCCATTATTACCAGGCTATAAAACAGTTCTTCATGTTGTTTTAACTGAGCTAAGTCTTCAACCAACGAAGGTCACAACACCAAAATCACACCTCAGTGTGGCCAGTTCTTAGGGCAGCTGGGTTTGATTTAAAACCTTGCTGAGAGGCAAGACTAAACACTTCATCTCAAATGTAATTTCCATATAACAAGGACATCGAGGATTTTACAGATTTGTAGGTGTGGTTCCAAACTCCAAGGAGCATAAGGCAGCCAACAAGTGCAATGGTTTAGGTAATGCATTTTTTGTCAAATAGAATTCTTCTTTTTAAAGGCAAAAAAAAAGGTCAATCACCATAGTCTGAAAATTTAACAAGTGTAGTGTTGCACATTAAGATCTCTTAATATTATATATGTAACTGCCACTCCCACAGACATACTTGGAAAACACATAAATTAAACAAACATTCATAAACCAGTAAAGCACTTGACTGTACTACAATAACTTTTCAGTTGTTCAAACACACTTTTTATTATTAAAACACACTTTTTCAAATATTTGTGTAGTTTTTGTAACAAGCATAAAGGAAACCAAGATGATGAGCAAGGTGCCAGTTGTTTTTAGTGTGTCATACCTGCTACTGTTGCCATAGTTACATTTCCCTGCTGCAATGCTGATGCTGGCACCACGATCCCTTGGGGACTGAGTGTGCCTGCAATGGCACTTGGAATTTGCTAGAAAAATAAAACAGTTAGTTGCTTACATTTTTTAGCCTTTTTTTTTTTTTCCACATAAGGAGATCAAGCATGCTTGTGCATTTTTGTAATTTGTTTTAGGTATTTTTTGCTCTAAAATACGTTTGGAGTTTAATCACAGGATTACCTTCAAAGAGAAAGATACTTCATTAGGGGTTCATCATTACCTACATTAACTTCCTCATTATCACCAACCATTACCTTTGAAAACCCTCATGAAAGCAACTGCTAGAGAAGATGTGAAACAATTTTGAGACATTTTATTTCTAGGTATATAAAGAATAAGAAACAGTTTCCAAAGGCAAGAGGGAAAAAGGACAAATGAAATTACCCTTGATGCTCTTATTACAAGCATCAAAGCTTTAGAATTATAGTTATTACTTCAATTCCTTCAATATGAACATAATGTATTAAATATTCAATATATTTTATTCTGCTCAAGATAGCTCTTACTCAACCCTGAACATGCAAACTCTTACACATTTCCTTAGTATGTATCAATAATCTCTTTTGATAGCAAATGCAAAATGGGTCCCTTGTGTCTTTACGGAAAACTGTAAGACATATACAGAAAAAATCTTTAAAAATATGGTTTTGCCTGGTTCTAGAATCTCCTTTCCACACTTCCAGACATCAAAACCGATATAAGGAGTCCAGAAAGTGAAGTTTAACAGTAAATTGGGTTTTTTTTTAATACAGAGCATTAGACACATGAGTAATTCAGAGAAGGACAATGCCCTCAGACACAGATCAAGTGGGTACTGGGGTGGCAGGGCTCACTCTGCAGCATCTCACAGCAAAACCATCAACCATAACCTATTGTGATCAATTAATACAGAAAATGCAATATTGCAACTTTAATCCATCAGATATTGTCTATTTATTCCAGAATACAGATTGTGTGTGAAATGTATCAGTCATCTCAATGTTTTAATGAAGGAGGTAAACTCAAAAGGCCTCAACAAGCAAAATTTTTCTTCTTTGTTTATTCTGTTTCCTAACCTCCTTCCAATCAAATAGCAAATCCAGGCTATTCTGAATATCTCCACTTGCTGAACTGAGAGAATCATAAAAGGAAGACAGACAATAAAAGAATTGACTCTGTGCTCTGGCACATTGCAACAGATTTGTCCATCAGGTAGTGGCACTAAAAAGACAAAAACCAAACAAAGAAAAAAACAAACCAAAACTTTTTCTACTCTAAATAACTGGTTTGAGAGAATACAGGAAACTGCAGAAACTCTGTTTGCAAATTGATAGCATAGCTGTAACTTCCTAAGGAAATCTAAGCAAAATTCCACTGAACAACAGTATTTGAAACCCACCTGAGATTGCACAGGTGAATAAGGACTTCCAGGCTCTCCACTTAATAGAGTTTCACTGTTCATTTTTGTCTTCAGGCAGGCAATGTAACGACTACAGAAATCCTTGCAGAGTTCATTAACCTTTTCTAGCTCCAGCAGATGGATACGCAGAACTTGGATTGCTTTTACCATCTAAGGGAGAGAATTGGGAAAAAAAAAATCAGAAACAAAATAACTGTTCTTTAAAAAAAATATTTTATGTGAGATTTAAGCAAACACTGCTTCCCAGTAACAAAGATCACCCAATTAAGGCTAAAATTGCTAAATCCTGGAATGTGAAAGGAACAAAATGAAGCTGCCACACAGGGGAAACAGAACAGGACAACAAAGTGATTTTTGTCAGGTGTGACACTTCAGGAAGACAGAGCAGCCCAGGTGTCACAGGGCACAGGATGAGCCTGGATGTCCATGTGGTCTTTAACCCCCTTGTGCAACTCTGGGTCACAGCCCACACAAGACTGGAAGTGATGGAAATCCCATGCACAGAAATGATCTGGAAAGCAGGGCTGGGACAGGCTTGGCCAGCAGCACTTCTCTGGAGCTCCATAAATCAGAAACACCACGTTCAGCTCCACTACACCTGACACAAGGAAACCAGAAGGGTTTGAGATACAGTGAGAAAGAAGACACTCCTGTGATTAAGCATAAATTTGTTCCACAGATTACTCGGGAGGATGAAAGCTTTTATTTTTCAATAAAATTAGAATAAAGAGGTCCCAAATTTAGTCACACTGTTCCACAAAGCTTAAAGTAATCAAACAGTTCTTCAGTGCTACAGCTTTTAAGCTCCTCTGTGATTGTATGTCAAAGATGAACAACTCTCAGGTAAAATCTTCTAAGAACTTTAAGGTGAGGAGACTGATTTCTGAAATGCAAAACATTAAATACAAAGCACTACACCAATTTTTTTTTTAAATCCATGTTTAAGCTCAAATCCAAGTACAGGAGATACGTATGTGAGGAGAATACTTGTCATGCTCACTGTGAGAAAAAAACTGTAAGCCTGGATAACCAATGGTATTACATACTGCATAAAAATAGCTTAGGTGATTGTAAGGGTCATGGCAGAAGATCAGAAGCTAAAACCAAATCCAGATGGTCTAGCAGCAGCAGGAAATCCAGGACATTCAAATATGTACACAACACACCAGAAAAGTAATTATTTTTTATACAATATGCCACCCCCAACTTTTCTGTGCTGTGCTGGATCTCTGAGACAAATATCCTTCATTTTCATGACACTGAACTGTTGCAATTTTGAAGCATAGTGCAGAGCTTGACTTTACAATTATTTGGAAAAATCTGTCCTGTATGAGGGGCTAGGCAGAGCACTGAATCCAGTGAACAAAAATCAGACCCTCCAAACTAATATATCTATTACTTCCAACTCAAGAAGCCAACTGGGAGCTGAAGATGCCTTTGCTCAAGTCACCCAGAGGAGATCAAGGCAGGAAAGCTTTTGAGTGTGCTCCCCATCATGACAGTTTAGCTTTCATTAAGACAGATATTTTTCCTGTTTTTTCAGCCACTCCCAGAGTGGAAAACACATAAATTAAGGTTCTAGGACACTCACTTGGTGTAGACAACTGTGTGTTAAAATAAACAAGATGAAAACAAATTAAGAAATTATTTTAAAAAATATTTATTCTCAGAGATAAAAAGAAAAAAAAATACACCTTTCAAAAAACAGCTGCAGAAACACCTGAGCTGTAGATTTGAGGAAGTTGACCCAAATTAATATCTGGTAACTCTTTTGACCTCTGACACTGAAAGCCTTTGAAACACTGAGTGCAGTGACCCAACACTGAGACACAAACCAGTCATTTTCCAACCCAGCCTAGGTTGCTGTTTAAACTGTGCTTAAAGCATCTTTAAACACAACAAAGTTAAAGCATGCAAATGTAACTAAATTTTAACACAAAACAAAGGTCATCTGGTTTTCAAGAAATTCTGTCTCTGTTTCAGAGACAAAAAATCTTAAAATAGAAAATTCTTCATGTGTAACTAATTAACAGATTGCACCTCATACTAGTGAGTGTTTTAAACATTCAGCTAAAACTGAGGTAACAAAATATGCTTTTGGACACATAATATTTGACCATAATAGAGATTAGTTTATTTTTGCTCAGTCAAGAGAGTTGGGTTTTTTAAACATTAGCTAAATTTGTACTGTTTATTTATCAGCATGTACTTGGAGGAAAAATGAAAGTTCTTTCTTCAGCTTTGACTTAGTTTAAAATTGATGGTTGATGCTTGAGGTGAAAATTGAATTAAAGTCAAAATTAACCACAAACCCAGACTCAGTAACACTACCCAGGTTTCTGCAGGGCCCCTCTCCATCACCCTACTCCTGTGCTGCTGTGGTTAGGAGGAAAACAAAACTTTGTAAATATGCCATGCCTGTCACCAGGACTTATTAATTCATTTACAGCTACATTAATTGTGGCCATGTGGCTCCTGCTCTCTTGCAGCACAGGTGGACCAAACTCAATGTCATCAAAAGTTCACTTTTCCCTTAAAGCTACAAAAATCAAGAACTCCTGATAAAATAACTCAAGTTGGAGGAGTTAAAATAACTCAAGTTGGACAAAGGTAATACAAAGAAGTGTTTTCAGACAGGTCACAGCAGCAGTAATATTTCATTCAGTGCTACTGCATAGAATATGCCACAGAAAAATGACATTTTATAACTGATTCAGTCTTTTCAGCTGTAGCAATAAAACTGGAGTATCACTTCAGAGAAATGTATGAAGATAAAGTAGCCATGAGATTTGTGTATATTCACACAATCCTAGAATGGTTTGGGTTGGAAGGGACCCTAAAGATCATCCTGTTCCAGCCCTTGCCATGAGCAGGGACACCTTCCACTGTTGCTGATATTGCTGTAAATAAAGATAATGGTAAACTGTTAGAGAAAGAAAAGATATTAAAAAACTTCCAGTTCCTGCTATCAGGAGCCTATTTATATATAAATGTCTCCAAATTTAAGAAATTTAGGCTATCTTTAGCTTAAATATGCTCTAGGTTGTGCCTGCCTTCAGTGCCTCAAGCCCGTGGTGCAGAGGCACAGACACAGCACAAACTGCCTCAGTCCTTCCCCAGCTCAGCTGTACTGATGGAAAACAGAGCCACAGTTTTTCATGGATTTCAGAGCACATCAACTGCACGTGTGGGCAACATACATGAAAGAATCTCCATATACTAACACAATCTCACTCAAATGAGTCTTCATTTGAAAAAAAAAATTAAAATATATACATTCACAGCTTACCTACCTCCCTGATCTAAATCCTCCTGCAGCAATTTAGAACACAAACTCAGGGAGAAAAGCTATTTTGTTTTCATTTGTTTTGATTTGATAACCCCACTCCTCTATTTTGAGTCCTCAGCTATGAGACATCGCTAGAAAAGATGTAACTAGAGGTTTATGGGACATTAAAACAGCAAAAACACTTTTCAGAAAGGCTTGGTCAGTCAATATTCAAATGACACCAGCTGCCTCCACCACTACAACTCAGGTTCCAGACATAACTAAGAGAATTCAAGAGAATTGAGAAGAGGGTACTGAACCAAAAATCCTTACCCCAAATGAAACAAAAAACTCAGGGGTCTTCAAAAAAGGCAGTGTCCTGTTCAAATACAAAAGGGAGAGTATATTTAACACCCCTTGTATTGTGTCTAGACTTGACAAAGCCATAAGTAACCTGCTCTGACTTCACAGCTGTCCCTACTCTGTGTAGGAGGTTGGACTACAAACCTCCTGAGCTTGTAGTCCAGCCCAAACCATCCTATGGCCCTATGAATGTGGAGAAATTTAAAAAATCCACCCATGTGTGGGAAGAGTTTCCTCTGAACAGAAGCAACAGGAGAGGCAGGAACCACCCTGAAGCAATGTGGTATTTCTGCAGTGTCTGGGTTAGCAGTGAGCATCAAAAAAGTGTTAAGCAATGAATGTCTTCAAACATAAAATAATCTGTGAAAGGTCTAAAAAAACTCTCTGCAAGCACCCATGCTGATCAACTTTTTAGACATGGGGAGTCTGTGGATGCCCTATGCACAAAATGAGACTAATGGAGAACAAAGAGCAGATGGTGTCTTGGTTCATTCCAGGATCTGTTTCATCTGTAAAAATGAGGCAGGGATAGCAAAGGGCAAGGGGAAAAGTGTGTGGAGCTCCAACAGATGATACTCCCAGTTATGTGGATAAACTGAGCACACTTCCAGAAAGCAGCAACAGAGACTGCAAATATTTGGTTATTGACAGCAAACACACATCTTCTGACACTGATGCTTGGTAAGAGGACTAAGGGAATGCAAATAATATTCCAAGAAGATATGGAGGAAGTTGAAGCTCTAGGAAAGCACATTTTCAGTCCAGTAAGAACATGAGCACAGCCTTCAGCTTCCACTTCCTTCCCACAGGATTTGAAAACAGGAGATCTGCAGGATGAACCACAGGGTCATCCCAGAGCATGTGGTCTAAGGATTGCACCCAGACCTGGGAAAGGCACTGCAGAAGTAAAAAAGGCCTGGTAACAATTCTCCTGGATTGACTATGATCCTTTGCCCTGCTGATTCAAGGTCACCAACTGATGTTGTTGGAGAGCTTAACTGGGAAGAATAGAACCCTAGACTAGAATCCCTCTATCTAGATAGTACAAGGGTTTGAAAGTTGGTTTACAGGTAATTTAACAATTTATGAGTATTCTTAAAATTAACTTTCAGGTGGATTCTACCCACATTTCCCAAGGCTGAAATCCTTTTTAATACTAAAACCTGAAGCCATCAATTAATTCAGAATGGGAATTATAATACCAAAGTAACAAGATAATCTAGACCATAGCTTAGTAAGAGCTACTCAAATTGGAACAAGCATCCACTGCTCTTAATGAACTTCCTTTCTGGTCAGACTGAGCTAATGCCTGTGCCACCCAGATTAACATTCTGTGGTCCTCTGGATGAACTCCAAACTCCTCTCGTGGAGTATTCAAGGCGCTTCAAGTGAGTGCACAATGTGGAACGTTGCCAGGACTGTAAGTGACCCTACAATCACTATCTGTGACCCTTCATAATTTCTGTTATCTACTTAATTAGCCCACAGGCAGCACAGAGCATGGAATTATATTCTGTTGCTTTGGAGCTGTCAGTTGAAGCTCTGTCACAGAAACTGCAGTCTGGCTGAGTTCTACATGCCACATCTCAAAGAGGTAAAAGGAAACAAAACTAAACAGCTGACCAATTTCCTTACTGTAACAGGCCTGTGACTCTCAGATAGGATTTGAATTTGGCTCTTTAGTGTTGTGATGCTCAGTTCATCTCAGTTTAGCTCTGGCCTTGAGTTGATCTTACTGAGCAAACATTTACACCTTACTTGTTTGACTCTGCTCCACCTTTCCAGCCCAGTCTAATTACCAGTCTTAACAGCTTCTCCTTTCAGATGAATGGTTGAATTAACACTGGAGTTAAAAAGGGAAGGACAGCATGAGTAGAAGATGGAACAAAAGTGCACCATAGTGTTTCTTACTACTAAACAGACTTTTTAATCTCTATAAAAATATATATATATGTGACAGGAGGCAGAAAAAACTGCCTATCTAGAGCCTACCCTGTGGCAAGCACCAATATTTCAAGCTGAAAAGATACTGAAAGCCATCCTAGCCTGTTCACAATTTAAAAGAGAAGCTTGTGCTCACAGCCCCACACCAAATGAAGAGCCTGTCAGAAAGTCAGCTGTTCAGAGCTCCCAGCCTCCAGGACAGGCAGAGGACAAGCTGCACTCAGGTTTCATTTGGTATCCAGTAACAGAAAGTCACAGCTAACAATACGACCACAGGACGGGAGTTCAATGCCAAGGATTTTTGATTTTGCAACGTGGCTCCAGTTTAAGCCACTACTGACCTCAGCAGCCATGGAATCCAGGACATAAACAAATAATTCCTCACCCACCTCAAGCAAAAACAGCCAGATTTGTGCAGCCCATCAGCAAAAGGGAACACCATATAAACCAAGAGACTTTGTCACTAGAACCACAAACTGAAACCATGAACAAGTCAATGACAGGAAGGATTATTTGAACACACCAGACCCAGCTACAACCAAAGCAAGCTGGATCTGAGAGAGTGTTTATGTGTGACCAAAAGCACAGGGAACAGGCCAAGGCAAGCAGGATCTTTGGGAAACCAATCTTTGGAAGCTCACAGAAGCCACAGAATAACTGAGGTTAGAAGGGGCCTCTGGAGATGGTTTAATCCAACCCTCCTGCCCAAAGCAAGGTCAGTCAGGTAGGGCAAGTTCCTCAGGCTCATGTCCAGCTGAGTTTGAGTGTCTCCAAGGATGGAGACTCCACAACTCTCTGGGCAGCCTGCAGTATTCAATCACCCTCACAGTAAAATGTTTAATAGAACCTCCTGTGTTTCATACCCATTCCTTGTTAAGTTCATACCCATTTCCTCTTGCCCTGATGAGTCAATCTGTCTTTTTGCCCTATTAGGACTCGGCATTTCCCTTTGCTGAATTCCACGAGGCTCCCATTTTTCTGCTTCTCCAGAAGTAATGAAGTACCTCTGAATGGTGGCAGAGCCATTTGTGCATCAGCCCCTCCTCTGCAACACCTGCAAACCTGCTGAGGGCTCAGCCTGCCCCACCACCCCAGTCACCAATGGGGATGTTAAACAGTTCTGTTTCACAGTCAGCCCCTGGAGAACAGCACTTATGGGTAGCCCTCAACTGGACTTCGTGCTGCTGACCAGAATCCCCAGAGCCCAGGAGTTCACCCATTTTTCAGTTCACCTCACTGCTCATTCATCTCATCCCTGTCTTGTCAGTTTGTCTATGAGAACATTGTCAAAATAAACACAAGCACTGCTCTTTCCTCATCCACTGAGCCACAGCTACTACATTCCAACTATTAGACTTCAGATGTGCTTCTGAAAAGAAATTTGGATTAGAGAGATAGGGAAAAACAGTGATTTTGTGTTGGATTCAGAGAGTTACAAATGAAGAAAATAACCTCAGGCTTAACAAGTCAGCAGACCAGCTTCATGCAGAACAGAACTAACTGTTCTGCATTTTTGAGTAAAATATTGAAGGCAAGTATATTCAAAATAGGGAAATCACAGCTTCATCACAGGAATGACCTTAAGAAAGCCTAAAGGAGTCAATGACATGAAAGAAAAAAATTATATATCTGGCAAAGACTTTCTAAGATCATCTTATAACAGCTCTTCCCTCACATTAACTAGGTGAAGCGTGATTTAAATAAATTTGGAAAAATTTACATCAATTACATGTTTTTGATAAATCTGTTAAACACCAAACACTCTAAATTAATTTGCAGAGTCAATTTGGTTATGGAATGTTTCTGTTTGTCTCCAATATACTCATGTCAGCTGAGAATAGGAAACAACTGTGAAGAGCCCAGTGTAAATTTACAGATAAAAGGGAAAAGGGGGTCAGAAGAAATTTTAAGAAATATTTTTTATCATTAACATAAAGAAGAATCTCTCACAGGCAGAAAAATGTGAGGAGAAACTACAAGGACCAGTTGAGATCAGAAATTAGGAAGAAGCTGCAAATGTAATGGTTATTTCAGAAATGAAAGAAGCAGCTAATACTTACCAAATTATCAGTTTCTGGATCTTCACAGAAAAAAGGTTTTCCTTCTTTCTCCTGCTTCCTTACAAAGTTTTCAATATCTACATCAAAACTGGCAGAAGTTGTGCCTTCTGAGCCTTGCGTAGATTGTTCACATTTTTCAAATAATAGTGCTAACAAGGGAAATAGAGGGTGCCTAGAAAAAAAAACAGTTTAAATACATGAGTAAGTATTTTCACTTATGTGCAAATTAAGAAATCTAGCTCAGAAAAGCTCACAGTCACTCATATGAGTGTGACAAGTTCTGGAAGAGACTGCATATAACAGCATTGGCTAGAGCAAAATAAGATAAAAGTTTAAAGGCAAATACAGCAGTAAAATATGTATATATATAATTAAAGAGAACAATCACAAGCAAAAATCTCTGTTTAATTCACTGTAATTGAGTGGCACTGAGACAGAAATGAGATTTTGGATTTACCAAGAGGATGAATGCAGATTCAAATGAAGCCTGATAAAATTAATTTATTCTTCAATGTGGGCCATACTTACACATCATGAAATAACTAAAAAATTGAGAAGAATATTCAAGTTGTGCTCAGAGGCCTCCTGTGAAATCATGCTCTAAGGAGAAGATTTTGTTAGCACAAGTCTGTAAATGAATGGATAGATCTTTCTGCTTCAGGTTGAGGATTTTTGGTGTTTTGTTTGGCTTTTTCCTGTTTTGGTGGTTGGTTTTTTTTGTTTTGTTTTTAACCTGAAAACCAGTAATAATTCTGTCTTTATAAGTAGTTTAAGCCCATGAAAACTGAGCAAACTGCTTAGCACAGCATTTTCCACTGGAAAATCTCAAATTAAGTGTGCTCATACATCAATATTTAATCCATTTTGAGCTAATTACTGAGGAATAGATTGTTATCCCTAAAAGAAAAGGAGTAAAGACTGACCTACAATTTTAATTACAACAAAAGTAAAAACTCGTATTAAAGATAAAAACTACAATATGACAAATAGTGACCACAGTTTAAAGGCTAAACCAACTTTTAAATTTGGCAACCACCCTTGGAATACCATTTAAAACTGCTGAAATTGAAAAATCCCACAAGCTCAGAAGGTTTTTCCTTGGCTGATGACTGACAGTGAAGCCTATTTGGTCTCATTCTTCCCCTACAAATTATGGAGACAGCCAAGAGATGACCTGATTTTAAGCTACTTATTATTTATTTATTAAAAAACCCCAAATCCTCTGCCGTATCCTTCACCCTTCAAAAGACAGAACAGGAGTCCATCACTACCTGTAAATGGCCTGCTTGTCTGCATCCATTGGAGTCTGAGATTCTACAGGGGCAGGACTCACCCCTTCGGCATCAGTTTCAGAGCAGCTGGGATCTTGTTCAGTTTTTAACTCTGTTACCACTTGCATCTGCAGAAAAAAAGAGTAAATCTGTAGCCCTGACGTAAAATAAGGGTGCTGTGTTCTAAGGAAAGAGCAGTGCAAAGGGCTCCTAGATTGCCAGAAGGTTGGTGTGACTTGGCAGTGACACAAGAAGTTGTAGCAGCAACAAAACCCTTCTTTTAATCCCTGACACTTTTTGATAGATAAAGGTCATTTCCAAGTTTTAGCATTTGGCTTTAAAATGGGAATGAGAGATATTAGTAAATTGTTGAAGCATTTTGTCTCTGAAGTGGCTGTTTTTGGAATAGCCTAGAGTACATTGCTCCAAGAAGTTCATGGGAATGTCTGCAAAAAAATCCTTTAGGACGAAATCAATGAAAAGTTTATGTTCTTAAGATTTCTTTTAAAATTTTTACTGTGCATTGTATAAGGATACTGAAGAAAAGGATCTTCTAGGTTTTTTTGTCCATTAAAATCCACATTTGCTTAAAAATATCTGAAATATTCTGTGTCCCTCCAGTCCTTCAATCATAGGAGCATAACCTCCCATAACTTTTAGCACTCCTTTTTAGATATTGCAAGAACCAAGTATTTTAGGGCTGTCAAACTACAGAACAGCAGTAACTCTTTCTACACATCAATTTAACCCACATTTACACCATGGAAAAGCAGCACAGAGCCACAGCTTCACCTGAGCACCTCCTAAATTGCATCAGGAGGCTGGATACACTTTCCAGGTGCTTTGAAGGTGTTCCAAGTGTTTTTTCCATCACCTCCAGTGAAATATCTTTTGGACTAAAAGGTCTTCCAGGAACCTGAACTGTGAAAGTCACAGTTTCCACCCCTCAGCCCAAATTCTTTGGTTTTCTCCCATTTGAGCATCTGCACAAAGACACGAAACCACTGCAATCTTTTCTCTTAATTCTCTTTTATCTCAGGTAGAGGACAGACACTGTTCTAGGGATCTCCAGGCAGCCAGAACTGACAGCTGCAGAGATAAAGGCCTCCAGAAACTATTAGAGAACCTGATTTTAACAGAATTTTATTTACTTCCACATAACAGCAGCAGAAAAATTTACACTATTCTTAACAATCTGGGAGAACCAAAAGGTTTGTGCTTCATTACCTATTTGGGGCCAAACCATCCCCTAGAAAAATCAGAAACTGAGAAAATTCAGCATCTCCCACCCAACAGAGCAGCTTGCCATGCAGAGATGATTTTCAAGCCAGAATGCTTAAAAAAAAAAAAAAGTAACTAATGGACTAATTTCTTGGCTAATGACAGGAAGGAGGAGCAAATTAGAAGGGGACTACTCAGACAAGTGATTATAAATGTTGGCCATACATCTGCAGAGTTTGAAGGGAGGGAGTGTGTTCAGTTAGGGTTCCATTGCCCTAGGAGGAGGAAACAGCTCACTTATACTGCAGGTTTTTTCCTGTGGGCCATTCCCAAACTAGAAAAACAGCAGGCACCCAAATTACCTGTCTACCTTGGACACTGAGAACTAGAAATACACAACAAATAGGAAGAAAAAGCTTTCTACCAATCTGTTCTTTAGAAAAAAACATATTTTACTTTCACTGCCACAGGATGGTATGTATTTGCTGGGGGAATAAAGTCAAATATGTAAAGTAGGTGAGAGGAGAGAGAAATTAGAACTGCAATAAAAGAAACAAACAATAAAACTAAAAATCAAAAATCTGACTGCACTCAGATGAGCATTTTATAGGAGATGTGAAAAGTTGCTGTTTTTTTTCTGACTGCTCCCCATTGTTGCCATCTGCTGACAGAAGTACTTGTAGTTATTGCTTAGGGCTGACACAGAGAGGCCACCTCACCACTTGCCTCCAGTTAACAGCACTTTAATTCAGCAATTTAAAGTGTAAAACTACGCAGCATATTGTACAAAAAAGAAACATGACCAGATATACATGACTATGTTTCATTATTCCAGCTTAAACAGTGACAAGGCACTAAGGACAAAGTCACTATTTTTTTTCCCTCTTCCCAAGTGTATTTAGTTCCTAGAGAAATGAAAACACACCTACCTGTTGTCCATCTTGATAGTTGTCTATACTTAATGTCTGTGTTGCCATCATGGTTATTAAGACATTAATTGTGTCAAATCATCATAAGCATGAATAAATATTCTTTAAAGAAAAACATATAGTTAGTTAAAAAAGTGGCCACTTAGAATCCAGTTCTAAAGGGTGAGGAAAAAATAAAGGTAGAAATTCAGATTTATGCACATCTCTCAGAGAGTTTATTGACAACAAAGGCCACATGCAAATTCAAACCACAAATAAATTCAGTTTGGAAATATAACAGCTTCATTGTCTCTTTATATTTTAAAGTAAAAATTTTACAGGCTGAGGATTTTTTATACACACAAGCTCAAATGAACTTTAGCATCAATTTCTGCACTAGTTCTAAGGTGATACATGAAATCTAGAAATATGCAGGTTTCTGTGTTTTTAAAAGGCTCCCAACCCACTGAGCATCACTGTAACTGAAATAATAATAGTTTAAAATTATGAACCAAATGCAAAATGTTAAGGAATACCCTGTTCACTTTTGGGTGTGAATCCCAGATTCTAAAGTAGGGCTGAAATTACTTTCAGAGACCAAGACTCAAATCACTTCTGACATCAGGAATTTGCCATCCAAATCATTTAAGGTTCAACAAAGAAGGGAACAATATCTAACAATATCTAATTTTTAAACAACTGGGCCCATGTGACTATAAAGTTTCAAAAGGGACCTAGGAATTCAGAAGTCTTGATTTCAGAGACATTTGATACTTTGGGAAATATTAATTACCATAGGATTTAAACACAAGTAAATGCATCGTGTTATTCTCTCTAAGCATTAGCTGGAGTTTGGTGCCCAGATGACTTAAACATTTTTAAATTAAGACATACCATAATTAAAAAAAAATTAATTAGCAAAGCACCACCACCAGATAGAGTGTACCCAACTTTTTGGTTCACATTATTACTTCACATTTCATTTTCATGTCAGATCTGCAGCCATTACAACTGAAATCATGTAACTCATTAAGCTATTACCAGTAACTATTAACAGAGAAGTCAATTTTCCTTGACACATAGGAGTTCTAATGTTTAGCTACTGCTGAAAAAATCCATATGAAAAAAAGAAGTCAGAGCTCATGTCTTGAAAAACATTATATCCAGGAAATAATTCCAGGCTTTCTGCTCTTTTTCACTTATGCGAGTATTGAAGAACTAAGTTTTAAAATTTTCACCACTTTAGGATCTGAAACAGAATTTTTTTTTTTTTTTTTTTGCAATGTGCTCAATCACCACAAATTTTTCAACTATTTTTAAATCCTTCCCTTACTGCATACTACTAGTGCATATGACAATTTTAAGAGCAATTTTTACATTTCTGGATATTTTCCCCTACAGTCTCCAGTGAGTGTTTGATTTTGCAAACACAGGACAAATTTCAAGGTTCTTTTCTTCGACAACAGTTTCAGGCACAGAGACAAACCAAACTCCTCAGGATAAACCTCAAGCCTTACTTTGCATCAAATTCACTCAGTGTAATTCCTAAGTATGAGTGCAATTTTTAAAATCCTTTTTTAAATAGTTTCAAAGACCAGAGAAGTTCACCAAGATGATGTAAGCATGACTTCCTGTACAAACCCAAGTAATATCTGTTTTAACTGAACATCAGTATTCTTTCTTTGAAACTCCAAAAACATGACTGATTTCTCCACCAAAATTAAAAACACAAAGGGAACAACTGAAGTGCACTCACTGATAGAAGTACTTCAGATGTTACATTTCTTTTTTACAGTTACAAATAATTTAGTGTTAAAAGTTAAATCAGCATTTGCCACAATAAGCGAGATAACTCTCAAAATACTTTAAGGGAACACATTCTGAAGCATCAGCCCTGCAAGCATTTGTTTGAAGTTTAAATATTTATTTTCTTCCATAAATGGCAGCTGACAGCCAATGCAAGTGCCTGTCTGTATTGACAGAGTGAACAGGCACATAGAAAATGCTGCTTTTCTTCCTTCTCAAAAGACATACATTTAATTTATGACTGTGACATCCAAAGCACGGACCAGGCTACCCTCAAAATAAAAGCAGAACAGTTGAAATTACCAACAGAGCAAACACTATTTAATGATTATTTTAAAGCTAAGTCCCACAGAAAATACTGCTAAAGAAATTGTTTAACTGTGGGAGAAAGATGAAATTCTTAGGCAAAAATGAGAAAATAAAAGTAAAACAGTTGTAGAAGAGGAACAAAGTCCTAAGAGTTCACAGGGACATAAGACCATATTTGTGGCATGAAGAAAAACCTGGAGAGGGAGGCCACAAAGATAATACATGAAAATTGGTAAAGACAGTAGGACATGGCAAGCATTTTTGGAGAACAAGACAAGCTGGACGAACTCTTCCTTCCAGATTTCCATAATGAAGAGACTTCCACATCTGGAAGACCCCCAGGCCACACAAAAGAAGAAAGGAGGTGCACAGCTTTGAGCTAGATCCACAGATTATTGCATCTAGAAGGACTTGGGCCATATTTTCTCCCAGGGGGATGACTGGAAGGAAGTCTACATGAGTATATCCTTTATTTCCCACAAGAGCTTCCCCTCTGACTTATAATTACAGTAGAAAAAGATTGAGCTATTAGGCAAGATAGGAACTGATGAGATTTAGTGAAGACAACCACTGCAAATCAAGAACAAATTGAGCTAATCACACACTTAAATTGAAGCAATTAACTGAGGAATTACTTCTCTTCACTAAAAAGAAACATTTGCTCATTACTCAGTAGAGGCAAGAAACAAACTGTGTTAAACTTTAGGAAAAGTAACTGAGAAGGTATTTACAGATTGGGGTTTTATGGCCTCATTTGGGATGCAGCACCCAGGGCTCGTTAGCAGGCACAGCCCCAGCAGATGCTCAGGCTGCAGACAGCGCTGGGACTGCTATCGCTCCCAGATGTTTATCACTGCCACAGCTAATTACTGCCACAGCTCCTCCACAGCTCACACAACACCTGGATGCTTTCTGATCCTTTTTACACCCAGTCAGCCGGGCTGCTTCAGGCCTCTCCCTGCTGAAGGTGGCTGTGATGGAAAGCAGCTGACTTGGAATGAAGCAGTTGTGGTGCACTTGAACAAGCCCTGCTCTTGGCTGACCTACTCGTGTGGTCATTTCTGGCTCGTGTGTGTCCATTCTCAGCTCACAGACCATCTCCAACCAGCACACTCCACCTCAGGACACAGACTATTTGGCTATCTGAGGTGAACCCATGAATATATGACTTCAGGACATCTTAGCTTTCAAAATGCCAATTATTCTCTGTGAAAGAAATCGAGAGTAGAGGGAAAACTGTGTGTTTGTGTTATATTCAAAGACTCACAAATAACAAAAATAACCTGCTGGTCTGTTTCACACAGAACAGAACTAACTCTCATTCTATTTATTTTGAAAGCAAAGTGTGTAGAAAACCCAAGGAAAAACTTAAGGTCATGTAACTGGAAGCTGACGCATGACCTGCAATCAGAAACTCCACTGACACCTGTGGTGAAAGGGAATTCATAAAAGATCACAGTCTACAAAGCAAAGGGGAAAAAAAAAAAGGGAAGCCTTTTATAAAAGGAGATGTGAAGTGAAAATGTAAAGCAGAAAGGAAACTAAATGAAGAGGGGTAATCATAATTAGAAATGTGGAGAGTTTGTGCAAGTTGAGTATGTAAGAGAAGAGATTAAACGTGAGCTGAAACATACACACAAAGTGATCACTTAACATTCATCACTCCACTCCTCGCTTGTTCCACTTACTCCTTCATAATTAAGGGCACAGGGACCACCCAGTAACGTTCACAGAGGTACAAGCGAGCTGCTGGAGATCAGTGGTATCATTTTTAACATATACAAGCTACAACAGATGTTCCTAAGAGATATAAATAGTTATGCTTCAGGCTACGACCTAACCACCAACCCTCTTAGGGTTGTGAAGGAACTGCCCAACAGACTTGTTAACAAGTAATCATTCCTCCTAATTTTCCTCATACATGTTTCTTTGAAGTCCTTCAGAGAGAAATGCTTGACTGGCAGATTCAGCATGGCCCTTTGTTCATTCTTATTTAAGTTTAGTCCTTGTACTTGCTCTGTAACATTATATCCTCACATTCACACAACAAGTTGAAACAAAAATCAACTTTTTGACACATGAAAAGCAACTAGAACTGGCTTCCTTTTCAACACAATATAGGATGATATTTATTTCCAGGGCACGCTGTTTTCTAAAGAAGATAAAATACTGGCCATGAGAAAGCTGCTCACCCCTTTCCTTCAGTGAGTTGCAAACATTATCTTGTTCCAGCACAGAGATCCCACTTATGTACAAGGTGGAAGACAGAAACCTAAAAACCAACAGAGAAATAGTCAGAAGAAAATAACACCTTAAAACACACATTCTAAGACTCGATATGATTTTTTTTTAAATTGTTTTACTATGTGGTTACCTCATCAAGTGTTAATGAACAGACAGGAATTTTTTGCACGTTTTGCAAATCTTTGCATTGTTAATAATCTCTAATCACACCCATTATCCCACGCTTGAACTTCTTATCCCATTATTTGATCTTTCTGTCATCTTATTCCATTCATTCCCTACTTTCACCTTTGTCTCTGCTGACACCTCTAACAGAAGGCTCCATTTGGATAATAACTCTCTCACTGTTCAACCTTCATATTTTACTCCTTGGCTCCATGTCTGTCTGCCAAGACTAGGCAAGACACATCCCAAAAATAAAACCATGAAATGCAAATAGGAGTAACTCACCACTGTTGTGAAAATTAAGCATGAAATCAAGAAAGGTGAGAGATTTTTTCCCCTCCCATTTAAATCTCCTTCATAATCATTTGAATACAATCCATGATAAAATCAAAGCAGATGCTAGAAATGGGCCATGGTTAGGATCCTGCGTTCTGTGAAGACAGGTTTTCCTACAGGATTATTCGGCCATTTTAAAAAGCTTTCAAAAAATTACAGCTTAAAATTACTTTAATTATGTTTAATAGCATCTGTTTGATACAGTGAAGCTACTTTTAAAAAGTAGTAAGGATTGTGAAAGCAAAGTAGCAAAGATTGTGAAAACAAACTTAGAAAACGTAACTGCTGAAAAGCATTAAAAAACCATCTCAGGAGACGTTCCAGACACTAAGGTTGCACAGAGGCCACCAGAAATTAAATGATGGCTAAAACACAGCTGAGATCTTGAATCTGATTATCTCTGTTTCTCACAGAGATGAAGTTCACAATTAGCATAAGAGAGAAAGTAACTCCAACATTTCTGAAAGCAAGATGAAATTGGTCTTTGAATTGGTCTTTTAATTAATTAAAATTTATGCATGTGCTGTTTTCCAAGAAGTGATGGTTTTCAGACAAGTTCACAGAAAAACAAAATGTGAAAGGCCACTCAATCTAGATGCCTTCTCTGGCTCATGAAACCTGGTTCTAACAGAGCAGGGAAGGTATCTGAGGAGTTTTAAGGCAGTTTAAATTTCAGCCATTGGCTAGAAACTGAACACTGAGCAAGAAGGAGTTTCAGCCCAAAGTGATATACCTGGTCTTGAAGGTTCAAGGAGCAGATGGCACATTAAAAGTTCTTACCACTTTTCCTTAAACTGTCAAAGATCTGCATCTTCAGAAAATGGGCTTCTCTCATTTTTGCAGCTTCTTAATTCAATTCTGAGGACAGTGTAACCCTCTTACTCCCTTCTTCACATGCCATGCATTTTGGTACTCATTCTCACTTCAATTTACTGGGCTACTTTCAAATAAAGGACTTCTCACTATTTATGGCATCTTCAGAACAGAGGTCACTGACAGATAAATCAGGATAGATAAATAGATGAACTATCCACTCCTTGTCTCTGCTCAGACATAAGGAGCACTACTGCAAACCTGAAAATCCTGCCCTTGCATTCAGAAATAACTGCAGCCAGGAACTGGTGAGGCCACTGCTGCCAGATCTGGTCAGTCCAATATTCAGTGTACGAAGAAGTAGCCCTTGCCTGCAAAGCCTTCAGCTGAAACTCTAAAACCAGCAAATTTCTAGGCAGCTTATGAGATACTGAGGGCAGGAACAAAGAGGTGCTAAAGAAATGCAGGCCTGGGTGAAAGATGCTGCAGAGGGAAGGATGTGGCTGAGGAGCCAGAGGATGTTGCAGTGATATTGCCCTCTTCAAAGAGACACCGGACAACATTTAATACTGCTAAACCCTAAAACATATCAGACAAGAGAGATCTGAGCTTGCAGATGATGATGTCTTCTTGCACATTTCAGATACACCTGCTACAGGGTGGAGACAACACCAAGGCACTCTGGAGTCTTAACCTGGACTTGCTATTGCCAATTTTTGTTTTCCTTTAATTCCTCTGGCAGACAAGCTTTAAAGTAATGTCATAATTATAAAAATACCTAACTATGAAACCAAAACAAAGGGCAACTTGCTTTGTCGCTCAGAAGGTGAATCAGCACTGAGGTTTTAACTACAAAGTAAAACAGGAACTTGTTCATTCAAGCACTGAAGAGCCCTCATTTGAGTCATCCTCTCATTCTGCATTTCAGGAAGCAAAGACCTGTGAGTACATTCACATGAAGCAATACAAGCAGACATAAAGATCCATGTATTTCTATAGATTCAAATAATGATAGCAATAATTGATTCAAACAATGAAGCAGTAAGTAGAGCACATGCCAACATCCAGGATTCATTCCACCTTTGCTGCAGTCCTGACCTCCCACGCAGAGTCATTCACAGAAATTAAGACAAACAAATCAATATGAAGTTGATACAGACAAGTTTATTAAAACTGTCCTCAATGAGAATGTTCTCCTCGTTCAGCACCAAGGTGGCTTCCATTTCCTCTGTCTCATCTACTTAAAAAGTACAGTCATTATTTAGAATATTATACTTTTAAGAAAGACAATGTTCCTGTTCAGGAACATAATACCAGCCTCAGGGAGTTCCATCACACAGATACAGCCACTCTGTTACTTTACAACAGCTATGCTGTCAATTGCCCTGGGAGTCAAGCCCTAAAAAGCCACAAAACCAATTTTGGGCTGCAGTAAAATGAGATTTATTTTGTGTCACTTTGTTCCCTTTATTGTTTGGTGGTGCAATAATTATTTATATGTTAATCTTGATGAATATGAGATGACATTAAAAAATGAATGCCAATTATACTTTAAGAAATGGAAAATTAAAATCCACAAGTAAAGTTGAATTTCTGCTGTGGTCCAAGCTACCATCAACCTTTCTTTACATGTAGGATTTTGAACACAGATTCTAGGTAATAGTGACTTTATTCAGTAAGGCCTCTCCAACAGTGTATCTACTGCTTTGCTGTCCCATTAATCTTTCCTAGCATCCTTTTTCATATCCCTCCATCGCAGATCTTAACAATCCATACAAAATATTCACATCACAGGCCACCTCCCAAGCACCACCACACACTGTCACACAGCACAACCAACAACAAACCATCTCATTACAAGATTTGTACTCCTTTAACAACTCATGCTTTGTTTAAACTCTGCTTTTAGTACTTTTAATTCTATAAATTCTCCTATTTGCAAGTACCAAATTAAATATATATATATATCAATGTGCCACTTTATAAGCTAAAATTGCATATGCTGTTAACTGATAAAATTAAGGATGCATAGATCATAGCAATTCCTCCAGGTATAAAACAGAAATAAAAAAATGGAGGGGATCTTGGTCTTGTGAAGAACTCTAGCTCCTGATTCTGCACACATCCTTGGTGTGTACACCAGCACATTTCCAGGGAAAGGTACAAAATCATGAGTCACATTCCTGATTCCATGTCATCCCCAATTTACCACAGTCCTTCTTGACAAAGATGAGAAAGATGAGGAATTCTATCCAATCTTCATTCAGAAATGAATGTTTCTGGAGTCAGAAAGTCATAAGATGATGTATGCCAGGTATCCTGCCCCAGGTAGCTCTTGGAATTCTGGAAGGAAATCCTCAGGTTGCTCTCCTACCTTCTGCAAAATAGAATTCTTATTCTTCTGACTATGGAAAGGTCCTCAAATTCAAGGAACTTCCTGCAGCATCTCATTTCTCCTACCCAATTCACACTGTAATTTGACCCGGCTTTATTAGCACCATAAAGTAATAGTGAGGAATTTAGGGGACTAAACAGCAATTTTGGCAAGAGAAAAATAAAACCTGAGGGAAAGGAAACCTCCCTCTTTAATTGTTCCAAGACTCTTAAGGGATTAGGGTATGAGGGAGCAAAAATATTTCCCATCACTCCCTCATCCACTACCAATATCCACATCATACATGAAGATTCCTTTTTTTTTTCTGTATTCTTAACACTACAAACAGAAGGACTTTATGGGTCCAGCACGAGAATCCTCACACACACATCATGAATCCTCACACACATTTATTGTTACAGGACAGAAAAGGATTTTTTTGCCCTCATTTTTTACCCAATGTGCTTTCATAACTTGTTGGACACAAAAATCAGAAAGATGCTGTCACATCTGCCTTGCTGCTCTCGTGGCAAGAGTGTGGCATTGGAAAGACTCCAAATGCTCCTTACATCCCAGAGGATGTGTATCAGCACTTCCACAACTGGAACTGATCCTGTATAACTCCTGCTTACTGATATTTAATTACCTTATCAAAACAAATTTCAATTTAAAAAAAGACAAAAGTAATTCAATAAACAGAAAAAAAAAACAAAAAGGATGAGAACTCCACCACCCTCACCATTTCTCTGGCATTGCCCACATGGATACACAGGGTTGCTTGTGCCCTGGACACAAATCCATCCCTCTGTCACTGAAGCCTTTGGAATAGCCACACAAGCACGTCCCAAATTTCTTACTTTTGGAGACACTGATGGAACCATCTCCTTCCAGGCAAATTAAACCAAAGCAACAGGAAATCCTATTTTAATCATGATTTGCATCAGCACCCAATAAACTATGACTGAAATGAATTTTGTTTTGTGTTTATATTTTGTGGTTTCATAAGGAAGATGCAGAATAACCACCACTCTCTCTGCCTTTATTGCTATTGAATACTTTACAATGTGAGCAGTTTGTGTAAGCATATGTTATTATTTCCAACATTTTTATTATAAAACCATAAAAGAATCCAATTATTCTATGAAAGGGTGAATTCCTGATGCTATTGAAGTACAATTGAAGGGTGTCTAGGAGTTTTATTTAAATAATAAATGCATTTAAAATGGACTTTGGATGTTGAATGGGTAAGAAAATGACCTCTACACATTTTTGGCATTTGAACAATTCATCAGGATCAAGATGTTACCTTATCAATTATTTAATTTTTATATCTTTTATGATTTCTGCAATAACCATTCATGAATCAAGCATTAACTTGGACTAGCCAAAAAACCTGAAAGTGACACAAAACCCTGGCCCTGCAATGCTCTGTGAAATCCAATTCCAATCCATCACTAACTTTTCCAGAATCTTCCCTGTTCTGATTCCAACATTTGGTCAAACCTGAAAAACTAACTTGGTTTTGCTACTAAGTTTAGGTCTTAAAATGAACTGTTCTTTTCTTTTTAAAATGAGGATGAAATAAAAACTCTTCCTTTCCTGCTCCGCTCTTGTTTCCCACCTCTCAGAAACACAAATCTCCACCCTTCCAGGAGTCATGGCTGCTGCCTAAGTGTTCTGGGGTGAAGAAAGACTATTTAGGATTAAACTTACCCATCACCTACTGCTGTGAGCTGCATCATGCTGAACTACTTGGTCCAGGTGATGACTGCACAGGCAGGTGACATGCAAGGACCAACAGACAGGAAGACACTCGTGTTACACAGAATATTCAGGTAATTTAGATAATAAATGTTGGCCCAGTACCATATAAACCAAGTTTTCTAAGAGGTTTTGGCCTGTTGAAGGTTCTCAATGAACAGCCATATGCTCCATGTGAATGCTTTTGATCCTGTCCCCTCTGCAACACTAAAATGCACAACTCAACTGCTGATATACTCTTAAATAAGAAGAATCCTGCCTTTCTTATAAACTAACATATTTGCTTTCTCTTAGAGTCATTCTTAAGATGCTGAGTCATTTTTAAGTTGGCAGAATAACCCTGCTCAAACATATTCATTGTGGCAAATTTCAATAGGACTAAGAATTAAGTTACTGACATCAACACCTCCAAATAACAATAATAATAAAAGATAAACAGGTAATCTTCCTTCTAGTATTGCTACTATCATGATCTAGACCACATAAAAATGGGCTAGAAAATATAAATTAAGTGATCACAGACTGACCCAGAAGTTCTTTAGTTACAAAGACATACAACACAGCACACACATTTTAATTCCCCTGTTTTCTAGGCAGGTCAAAAACATGTAAAGATCCAATTTCTGTTTTCTAGTTGCCTCTGTTTCCTTGGAATATAAAAGGCTTGGACTTTATTTTTCAGCAAGTATGATAATATCCTTTTCCCTTTGCTTTGTTTGCTGTGTAACTCATAAAAAGCCAAGCAGGATGTGAAGTATAGCCACACTTCCTAGCTTCTTCTGCCCTCAAGAAAAAACACAGGCAATTCCAAAACCTCACCAATAAAATAAAAATTGGAATTTGGAGGTTTAAAAAAAATGGATCCCTCTTTCAGTATACCAGAAGTAGGCTGCCATATTCTACTTTTTGCCTGAATTTCCCATCAGCTGCAGAAGAGAGGTGGAGATCTCTGGGCACAGCAGGGTGAAGGACAGACTGTGATCATCACACTCAGCTCCCATTTTCAAAAATCACCTTTTGACTCTCTGTGTACTCAAACAGCCCTCAGGTTTAACAGCAAATGCCTCTTTTGTACACCTAGGTACTAAAAAATGAGAACACCACGGCCTGGAGGAGCTACCACATCAAACCCCAAACAATGTGTTCTGTGAAGGATGAGAACCAACCATGCCAGAACAAGATCTGAGTTTTATTTCCCTTTCTAGCACCAATGCCTGCCTCCCAGTGCCATACATGACATGGGATCCCCTCTTTGCTGGCAGGGGAACCAAGTTACTGCCCCTCAGCAACTTCATAAAAACGTGCCACAGCACCATAATAACAAAATTGGCATTTCCAGATCTGTGGTGCCATTATTTTATTTTCCACCCCATCTCTGATCTACCTGATGAATCCTGTGTTCCACAGTTCTGGCATGAAACCACCTCAGTGAATGAAGTGAAGAACCTGCTACAAGTGTGAATATTTCACTGTTCAATCACCCTGGGGAGATCTAAAATAGACTGGGTAAAAGATTTTGGCAACATCTGGCATCAAGTAAGCAAATGAAAGAACTCCATCAGCAGCTTTTTCTCCTTGCTCTTGGAATCCTCCTGCTTAGAAAAGCAGTAAGTTGTTTTACATTTTGTACAGCACTGAGCTGTGGCAAAATAACCCCCTCTGAGGCTTCTCATTTGTAAACCTACAGACCCTTTGAACAAGTGACAAGTGAAGTAACCAGCTGCTTCAAGAGAAGTAACAGTTGCAACATTTTTAATTTCACACACAAAAAAAATTGCATTTGGTCTTACTTAGACCAAAATACAAATATTAATCTGCTTTACTGTAAGCTTTCACATATGTGCCAGTTTTGCAGAGGCAACATTTGGCTGCCAGACCACGACATAATATTCTGAAATACAATTTGGACTGCTCCACTCAGGACATTAACACGGCCATTAGAACAGGCAGTTCCAGTGCCACAGTGGTGGCTCTGTGATCATTCACCCTCGGCCACTAAGGCTTTAATTTCACCAAAGAGTTACTCTTTTCCAGGAAATTGAATTGCTCCTGAACAGTCCCAAACTTACTGTGGCAGCAAGCAGAATTATCAGGGCTTTATGAGAGCACTGCATTTACAGCACAGAAAAATATAGTTGGAAAGCAAAATTCTGAAGGAGAAATTACAGCTTCCAGAAGACTAACCATTTTGTAAGGCTAAAGTATTTTAAATAAATTTATATTTCATTCATTCTAAACACCTTTCAGTCCCACAATGGAAGATTGCAAGGACTTAGCTTTAAAATGTTATTTTTATTTAACCCAAATATTACAAATTGTATTAAGAGTACAAATCAAAGCTGTAAGTACTTAATACCAGCTTGACTTTTTACATGCCAAAGTGAAATTTCCAAATACAAAACAAAATCCCCACTAACCCTAACAACAACAACAATGTACTCAAAATGTGAACAATTCTTGGGTTTTCTACCAGCACATGGGAAATGTAACAAGAAAAAAATTTCAGCCCAGCAAAACACGTAAGCACAGATTTTAAAAAAATGCATGGCCAAAATTCACTGGGGAGATCAATGAGAAATGATCTGAGCCTCCAAAATCTCAGTGCAGCACACCAGCCCCTACTTTACCCTGTGACTTTCCCTTTTTACCCTGTGACTGCAGCAGACTGAGCTCTGCCTTTCACCACTGAACTGGAGATTATGTAAAGAAAACGCAGTAAAACCTACACTGAAGTTTTCCTGTGGATACTTCAATTATGAGACGACAAAAAAATATATCAAGTGGTGACAGCCAAAAAAAATGCTGTGTAGTTCATAAACTAAACTGAAGATAGAATATTCATGAGAAAAATAATTTGAATTATTTTGAATAGATTATGTGAAATCTTTGGGGGATTTTTTTCCTGCAGACACGTTTGAAAACTTGAATGTAATGATTCTATATGTGATTACACACAGACTCAGAAAAGGATAAATCTGCAATTTGACTTGACAGAAAATGCACTTGCTGTTGCTTGATACTGTAGCACTGACACAGTCTGGAAACACCTAAGGATGGATTTCTGATACAGTCACAACATCTTGTTTCCTGGTTCAGTGTAATCCATAAAATTCACATGTGCAGCTAACAGGGACTGACCAGGGCTCCATCCAGCTGCAGAAGCCATCTCACTTCAACCACACATACAAATACAGCCACAGGGATGTAACCCCACAGCACAGGCAGCCCATAAACAGATTATATCCCACAGAGGACAGGGAACAACCTGTGAGTGTGTGCACAGCATGGAGAACAGCAGGATGCGTGGATATCCTAAGCCACAGTTGTTACAATTCTCTTCATCAAATAATCTACACTAAAATTTTGTGGAAGAGAATGCTTGAGAATAAAATTAGGAACTAACTAAATGCACGCTTTTTTTGTAAAAACTAAGAAAGGTTTGTTTAAAAAAAAAAAAAAAAAAAGAGATATTTAGCATACTTTGAGAGTGACCTACAGCCTCTAGCTCTTCTCCACAGGATTTTGGCCCAAGTGTTTTCCAACATCCAGAACATTATGCCCATGTTGCCTGTTCTTGGGATCTGTTTAATGGAATGCACACAACCTATTCCAAAGAGGAGCAAGGACACAAAATGAATCTTGCCTGGGCAGCACTCAAGTGGGAAAAAAAAAAATAAAAATCCAACTAACCAGCAACTCATTCAGTTTTAAGGGTTTCACACCAGATATAGTGTCCTGCATTAGGAATAAATTATTTACTGCCCCATCCCTGGAAGTGTCCAAAGCCAGGCTGGACACTGGGGCTTGCAGAAATCTGGGATAGTGGAAGGTGTCCCTGCCCATGGCAGGGGGTTGGAACAAGACGAGCTTTTAGGTCCCTTCCAACTCAAACCATCCTGGGATTCTCCCTCCCTAAACCACACCAGTCATTTACTCAGACAAAACTACAAAAAGGGACTAAAAACTTCAGCAGCAGCAGACTAAAAAAATAAGCAAATACTGTGACCTGTCTAAAATTACACTACGTATCACTATTTAAGACTAAAGGAAACATGTAATCAATTAAATTTTTAAAAATAGCAATAAGCTATACAGAGAATTATCACACGAACGTGTTAACTACTTATATTGTGATATTGTTAATTGACGAACTCCGGCGCGGTGGGAGCGAAGGAAAGCCATGAACCGCTCCATGAGACCCGGGACATGCGTCTCACTGAGGCAATAGCTGGGGATAAAACCAGCGCTTGATTTATTATTGTTTACACATCCCCAGCAGGGCCTCTGGGCAGTGTCAAGTCTCAGCTCCTAATTGCGGCCGCGTAAACACGCGGCAACCCCGGGCCTGGCTGCCGGGAAGGTGTCTGCTCACACGGCAGCGGGGAGAGCACGGGGGTCACAGCGAAAAGGAGCCAGAAGGGAGGGAGAGCCCCGGAGCATCCCGCAAAGCGGGGCGCATCCCGCAAAGCGGGGCGCATCCCGCAAAGCGGGGCGCATCCCCGCCTCCCCTCCGTGCCGTGTCCCCGGGGCAGGGCAGGTGTGCCGGGGGGATATCCCAGGAGGGAGAGGAGGGGAGCAGAGCGGGGTGCAGCTGCCGCGGCGCTGCGAGCCCGGGGGAGAGGGGCGGCGGAGCTCCCCCCGGAGCTCCGGTTCCCCCCGCCGCCTCCGAGGAGCGGCCAGCACGGCGCTGCCCCTTTAAGCATCGCGTCGCCTCCTCTCCCTCCCTCCCTCCCTCCTTCCTTCCCCCCCCCACCCCCATCCATGCCATCGCCCCCATCTCCTTCCTCCTCCTCCTCCTCCTCCTCCTCCTCCTCCTCCGCGCGGACCCGCGCGCGCTCCCGCGTCCCCTCCCCGCGCGCGCCCCCGCCGGGACACAACGGGCGCTCGGCGGCCGTTCCAGAACCTTCCTCGCTTCGCTCCCCCCTCCTTCCCCTCCCCGCTTTTCCCCTCCTTCCCCTCCCCGCGCCCGCCACCGCCCCTTAAACCCCCCGGTCCGTGCGAGCGGCGGCGGAGCGCGGGTGCCCCTTTCTCCCCTGGCCGCCGCCGCCGCCCCGCTCGCCCCTTCCCCAGCCGCTCTGCCGCTTCCCCGGTGCGGCCGTGCCCGGGCGGCGGGCGCGCCGTGATGGACGGCGGGGCTGGAGCGGGGTTTGAGTGACAGCGCTTACCTCGGGTGCCAATCTTCGTCACACTGACAAGCGGCTGCAGCAATCGGGACCCGCACCGCCGCCGCGCGCGTCACCGCGCGCCGCCGCGCCCGGCCAATCGCCGCCCGCGCCGCCCCCGACGCCACGGCGCGCCTCATCAATATTCATCGCCGTGGGGCGGGGCTTGCGCGCACCGCCCCTCCGCATTGGGGGCCGCCCGTCTGCCCTCATGAATATGGATGAGAAGGGCGGGGAAAGCAGGGAGGGTGAGGCCACGCCTCTCGCTGTGTGTGAGGCGGGGGGATGAAACCATTGCTGGGGGTGGGGGGAGGAGGGAGGCACCAAGTGGCTCCGCCATGAGGGAAGCGGCTGTGGCGGGTTCGTGGCGCCACACGAGTGCCGTTCCCTCGGGCAGCGCTTGGTGCTCGCCCTTGGGTCGCCTCAGGGCGCTGCTCCCCGGGCTCGGGAGTGTGCCTTGCCTCGGCTGTTGGCGCTGCGGTGCCCCCGGGAGCCGCGCAGGGCTGGAGGCTCCTCACGGCTTGTCCCAGGAACTTCTCCTGTGGCCTGCCTGGGCTGAAACTGAGCCCTGGGACCCTCCCAGCCCCAGAGCTGCGCCCCTGTTCTCCCCAGACCCCAAAGTGCCGGAGCGGGGTGAGGGCAGACCTGCGCTGTCCCTCACGATCCTGCCCGCGGTCCTGCCATGGCCCGAAATAAAGATGCTGACCACACATGTTTTGTTTTTTTTTTGTCGTGAAACTCCGCTTGGGAGGAACCAGTGCTGTCCCAGCTTCTTCCCCCATGAGTTACCGCTGTTAAATATCCCCCTTTTTCCCAAACCATTCCTATGTAAGGGACAGGAATGCGTTTTCAGGCGGGTGCCCTATGGCTTGCCCTTATTGCAGTCGGGATATTTAAAAAAGAGACTCTGCTGCGCAAAAGGGCTGGGATGCCTTTGAGTCCTGAATGTCACAGGTGATGGATCTGTCGCTTTCACCTTGTTCTCATTCTCAAGACTTCAGAAAGATCATCCCCACACCACCTTGCTGGCTTTGAGAGCAGAGGTTTGCGAGAGGAGGAAGAAAGCGACACAAAAAGCAAATCTCAATTTAGGAAGCTCAGTTTAAACCCAAAGCAGTTTTACTTTCAGGTCCCTCTGCAAAGCCGCCACTGGGAATCTACTTGATTGTCCTGTACCCGCTAAACTGGGAATATTCTACATTTTTTCCTGTTCCATGTCTCTCCCTGGTTTAACAGTAGCAAGTCAGCTATTATTTTTATTTTTTTGTTTTGTTTTGTTTTGTTTTGCATAACACTTTCCTGGGCCAGGGCAATTTTTAAAGATCTGGCTAATAGTTTGGCAATAGAAGCAGTTACTTAAATGTGCTGTCAGTCCCCTGCATGTCACTGCTGTGTCAAGACCCTGCTCAGCCAACACAGTTGCTTCAGGAATCTTGTCACCCTGTCCACACTGCCACCATTTGTCCACTGACGAAACAGTTGCTCCATCCCCTTGCCAGACCGCCTGGAGCCTTCTCAGGAGTTCCTTTTCCAGCCACTTTCCCCTGCACAGGCAGAACCATGTGGACATTGGGCTTGTGAGCAGAGAGGGAAGTTCTACACCAAGCAGAGGGTAGAACTGAGCTCTGCTAATCCAGAACACTCAGATGGGTAAATCATGGCTCAGTGTTAGATTTACTTAAACAAGATTAGGGGGAAAAAAACAAACAAACAACTCTTATTGTCTCGTTCACAAGAGCCTCTTTCTCTGTTTCTACTCCTGTGCTATGTAACAACACCTCTCATACAGTTCCTGTGGCCAGGATGGCTGCTGCTACCACAAGTTTCAGCTCTCATTATCCCTGACACATTCATTAGTGACACATTCACTAAACAGTGCTTAAAATTAATTGCTTCCCTTGTCCAGACCTGCCTCTTCTTCAAATTTGATTCTCCCTGCAACCCCTTTGTTCTTCTTCTGCCTTGCCTGCACTTCTTTGGATGGGAGTTCACTGATTTCTTTTGAGAACGAACAGATTAAATTAAAACTAATTTCGTTTCTGTTTAATCTCTCCTCCCAGTGATCTTCAAAGCCTTTCTTGATGCCTTTCCCAACTTGAATTTTCTTTTTCTCCTCCTGCTTCCCTTTGCTTTTCCTTCCCTTCCTGGCTGCCACTTTCTATTCCTGAGCTCCCCCCTCATGCACAACAGGTGTAGAAATTCCTCATCTGCTGTTTCCCCCTCACCCCAGTAATCCCATATTTTGGTCGCCTTTGTAGTTAAAGTTAATCCATCCATTACTCTTCTCAGCCTCTTACTCTTTTTGTGATTTCAGTAGATGTTTTAACTCTCTCAGTCTTAAAGTTTGTTATCAGAACGAAGAAAGCCTGCTTCACTCCACATCTGTGCCTCGTGGTTTGTTAACCTTAGAGTGTAATGTGCAAGTTTTAGCTGAAATCTCCTCCAAAGTTGTGATTTATTTAAGATTTCTCTTTACTCAGTGCATGCTGTTGCCCAAAAGTTCCCGCTGCAGATTTTCCATGATTTGGGGAGAACATGATACATCCTCCCTGCTCCACAACTTATTTCCATGAAAGCCACAGGAACTATATTATTCTGTCAGCTTTAATCCTGTCTGGAGTAAATCAGTAGATTCAAACATTATGAAACAGCATGGATACACACTCAGATATACCTCTGCCTACATGACATGACCATATAAAACTCATTCCCACAAGAAAGTAACCTAAAAATCATTCCTGATCAAACTTGTGACTTCCAGCTCACTGAAAGTTCTGATCCCACTCACTGTCAGGGGGTCCTTGCTTTTCAATTTGTCTTCAGTCATCTCTGATACAGCTTCTGCAGGCTTAAGTTTTAAAGGTTAAGCTTAATTTTTAAAATATCGCAGCTGAAATGGCTCCAGGAGATGAAGATTTAAGAAAAGCTCTAAAAATTACAGGACCCTTGAGAGAAGCCGGAAACTTAGAAAACATGAGCAGCAGGGGAAAAAGAATGAAGAAGTTACTGAGATGAGTGGTCCAAAGGCAAACAACAAAAAAGCTCAACAAAAAGAAACAGAAAGAGAAAGGACAGGTGCCTTTTCTGTTTCTGATTGTCCAAACAAAGTGTTGTCCTTTAGTTCTGCAAAAGAACAAGATCCAATCCAAAGGATGGAAGACAGCACTCCTGAGGAAACTCTCCATACTGCAAATCTTATAAGGATTATTGCACAGCTGATGAGGTTTTGTGCTCAGAGCTCCCATTGGTATGGGAGCACTCACTTCAATGCAGTGGCAAGAGGGCTGCTTTTTTTTCTAAAAAAAGCAAAAGCCACATCCAGGGTGAATGAAATTTCACTTTAATACTTCATAATAGCAAATTGCAAATACATAAAAATGGGGTTTGACAATATTGAAATAACAGAACACTCAGATTCTCTAACTTCTGTTACCTTTTTCACATTGTACATATGAAATAAAATTATTAAGTATAACTCATTATTTAAAACATGCCCAGATAGGTTTGTGGGGTCAG